TGATCACCTCGGGTGGCATCGGCCCGGTCGCGTTCCTTGAGACGTCATGCCATCTTGGCTCTTCGTTTCTCTCGTCTTCCTCGGTGAGTTCCGACGTGGATTTTCGCCCCTTTTTTTTTTAACGGGTGATTGCCGATCTCGTGCGTCTCGAGCGGGTGATTGCGCGAACCTGGAAATATCCCGGAGATGGGCCGGAAAGTGGAAATGCTTCGGTGCTTTCATCTGAATCGTGTTATCGTCAAAATCAATTTTAACCGTCTCGACGGGGACGAATAACTGTTAAAAAGCTTTTTTCGCTAACGGTAGTAAAAGGGGATCAGATAAGGATAAACGCGTTTATCATAATGAATGTCATTTTTCGTCGTGACGGTCGATCGATACCACCTTGAGCCTTTTCCGGTCCGACTGCCATCTGTGTCGTTCCTGCGGAAACAACACGTTGCCTTCCCGACTTGACGAGCTTTTCGACGTCGTTTTCGATTTTTGTCGGCGTCTGCTCGGGGTCGGTCGTCTCCGCCCGTTTCGATCCCATCGGAAAGAAGAAAAAAATCGAGGAAGATGAGGTCTCGGCTGATAAATCAAGATGAACTGGGAAACAATAGTGTTCGAAGTGGAAAACAGGCGTGACCATGTCGACCCAGATCCAGGCCCATCTCCAGAATACATTGCCCGACTTCCCTGATTTCCGATTCCTCTTCACGGCACCTTTTCTCCCCGCACTTTTATTCTAAACTCATTTCGAAACGTCGCAGTTGTAATCCTCCGAGCAATCTTCGGGTTGTAACAGCGATAACGGTGACGAAGCCTCCCAAACGCCCCTCGGCTTCATCCTCGACAAAGGGAAAACTTAATAATTCAGTTGGGGTAGGACGAGATTTAGCCGGACGGGACGTGCGCTGCATTCCCCCGTCGGATCACGTAACCCAACGTGTGACCGAATTCCCCTGGCCACCATCTGCCGTTTCGCTTCTCACAGCGAAAAACTTGTCAGAAAAAAAAGCCATATCATCATCCCGAATGTGTTGTCTCTCACGACAGTTACCCTGACTTGAGCACCTGTACGAGTGATTCATCGGCGTTGTCATAAGCAATATCCATCTCACGATACGATTTGTTCTTTTTTTTCTTTTGCTTCTTTGGATTCAGTCCAAGTACTCGCAAAGGTACTTCTCAGTATGTCGGTCGAGAACAACCCCGAGTTCCCTTTCGGAATAAAAGAAGAGCCTCAATATGGAATCTCCCCGGGGGGTCCAACCCCCCCCCCCCCCCCCCCCCCCCCCCCCCCCC